TCTCTCTCTCTCTCTCTCTCTCTCTCTCAACGTTTAGTACACACACGCCCGCTCTGCCATTTGCTTCACTGCAATTCACTTGCCAACCACACTCTCCTTGAGACTCTCCGCGCCGCACCCCTCTCGGACCATTGCTCTATCTCTCCGCTCCTTTCTATTCCCACTGGATCACACGCAAAGACCAACTCTAAACCCGAACCCTTTCAACCCAGAGGTTACCCCTAACTTTTTCTGACGTTGTTAGCAGAGCGAGACGCTTGCTTCGCCCCGGTCACACACGTACCAACACCAACGTACCGCAGTGAACTCTTATTACACCGACCCCTTTGCCCTCTGAGACGGTCCTGGCTAAATGTATCTATACACAGAATGACACTGGCAAAACAAGTGTTTAATGTTTCACGTCAATTGGTGTTTAAACATTCGACACTCCCGAAAAGTATAGCAAGTATAGCAGCTGCACACCATATGGTGTGCAACTTGAGTTAAACTTCATGTAATGTTTAAAATCACAACTTGCACACGTTGGTGTTTAAATTATGCACACTTGTTTTACCAGTGGACTCTCTGCTTTTAGACGCAGCAGTTTATAAGCCACCACAAACGTTGCGCGTTTTTATTTCAATTTCGTTGACGAAAAGTTGCTTCAATCTCGGAAATGGATTTAGCCATTCCATCAGAGTGTGTGTAGTGCGACTAATGGCCTATGCGCAACGAGCCGCATGCATGTATTACGACACCCCCTTCTCCTCCTCCTCCTTCCTGCCCCTGTTTGTCGCAATGACGTTGTGGTCAGTCGCAAAGCCCGCCCAGCAATTTTTCCCTCCCCCTCCCCTCTCTGTGTCTGGACGCAGTGCAGGTTGAACGTCGCTGGACCAGTTGTGGTTGTCCTCGAAAACGGACACATTCTCAGATCCTTATACTGCGAAAGTTAGTAAATTAGGCTCTCATGCATCACTTGCAGAGAAATAATATTTTAACGTTTCACGGGAAAATTTTCTACGAGTCATTTTTGTTAAGTTGCGACTCCAAGTACACTGTAAAATTACCCATGGCGACTATTTCAGTTTGGCACCATGAAGAGTATAAACTTCACTGAAATGAAACTGCACATAACTTTTGTGTACAACTTCCTCCATTTGTTTTTACCACTGTTGGAACGCGGAACACATGAGGGGCTGAGCTGAGAGTGCAGCAGGGCCCTGTAGGGGTCTCTTGGGTACGGTGCTGGCGGTGAGGTTGCACTCTCTAATCCCATCCCTCGGCCGGTGCAGCAGGGTGGCGGCGAGGAACTCTAAAGCTAACAGAGCGCGCCGCCGGAGTCGCCTTAGCCTTTAGCTAAGACGCCAGCGACGACGGCGGCGCGTCCCCCAGCTCGTCCCCGGAATGTGGTCGGCCCGGGCGCCCGCGCGTCAGCATCCCCTCGCCCCGCCTGGACCGCTTCCGGAGTGATATTGGAACAGTGTGCCCCCTCCCCCACCTACACGACCTCCCCTCTGCCAGGGCCCCGGCGGCCTCATCAGCCCCAGCACCGCACATACTCAACAATTAACACCCCCCTCCCTCCACGAAAAAAAAAGGTCACAGTCAAAGTAATTTGCACCCTGTTAAAAATAACTGTATAGTATTCCGGATATTTTTTTTGTGGAAATTTTGTTTCCCTAACAGAAAAAAAATGTATTTGAAATATATTTCAACGCATATTAAAATAATGTGACTAGTTCTCGCCACTAAAAACTCTGGGGTGTCGCATATGAATGATGTGTAACGAAACGGAGCCACATAGAGAAAAACTGTTGGGTGTGGCGAACAACTTTGGTTCTGGGGACCGAATGTTTAATAGCCGACGCTAACAGTTTTTTTCTTTCTTTGCTCACTCAGTGCGGACGTCCCTCGCCCCACGGCGGGGCCGGGGCGGAGCACTGGAGGGAAAGGTATACAAGAACTACCCCTGGCAGCGCCAGCCAGAGCTGCGACATGGTTGCGCCACGAGCACGGCGGCGGCAGCGGCAGCGGCCACCGGGATGCGAGTGTGCGAGCAGTGCTGCCGTGCTGCTCCCGTGGTGCTGCCGTGGCACCATCTGTTTCCAATGTTGGTCCCTGTGAAAGGAGCCGGCGCACCGCCAAGACCAGCTGATTCCGCACCAGAACTAGAACGGGGTTCGGGCGCTCGATAGAAAGTAATAATGTGGATTTTGCACACAAAGTCGATGAAAACGGGTCAAGTAAAAATGTTATTGAAAAGGGCAAAAAGAAAAGAGGCAGAGGGTAAGGGATACAGATAGGAAGTTTCATTTTGACTGAGCGCATGAAATCTTCTGAAAAATCCCGACGACACTTTTGACAGTGAGCTGCTCTGTGTGTTTGCCGCTGAACACGCGCGTGAGCGGCCAGGGTAGCCGGGCGGGGGCGTCCAATGCCACCAAAGCATTGTGATACAAGGGTTTCGCGTCTAGAAACGACAAAGAGATAAAGCGGGGGTAGGGGGGAGGG